GACATACACTCGCTGAAGTCGACCCAGAAATCGTAGCACCGGCCTTTGTTGCCTGTGATTCCCCACCCTGATGCCATCTTCCTCCCTCTCTCCGGCGAATCGAACGACGGTTCCGATATGCTAAGATGAGCCTCCTGATTAACGGTGACGACTGAAGAGCGGAGGTAACGAACGAGGAAAATTGAGTTTGACGGTTGAAGATGGTGACGAAATTACCAAAATACCAGTAAGAGTTTCAGTAATTATACCACTTGCCACTGGACCTTTGTTGGGTCGGTGAGTCAGAGGCCTCAGGGCCCAATTGGGTGGCAACCCTTCGTAACAATTGTAAACGAACGCAGTGCTAATTAATTATTATCTTTGCTTTTATTTTAAATTTGTTCTAAATTAATAGTTATTTTGTTATATTTTCAAAGAAATAATTTTTTTATGTTTAATCTTTATTATTATCCATTCACTTTAATTATCTATTCTATTATAAAAAAAAATTATATCTCTTTACTTTTATTTTTTTTAAGAGTAAAGTAGGTAAAAATATAAATTATCTATAAATTCTTAATTGAAAGTAAAGTAAAAAAAAAAAAACTCTATTATTTTGAGATGGATAGAGTAAAATAATTGTCCCTTTATCTCAAATTAACTTTTTTAATTTTGTAAGGTAGATAAATATTTTTTCTTACTTTAATTAATCATCTCATTAAAAAAAGTTTTATTATTTTTGTTTTTATAAGATTAATGTAAGTCTTATCACTACAAACTATTATTTTGAGATAGAAAGAATAACTCCCTTTGAGCATAAACGGCTACCATTTTCGTTAGCTGTTCCATTAAGCAAAATAATAGATATTTTGGACCTATTTGGTTAGAATAGGATTGTTTTTCTGAGCGGATTATTTTGGAAGGCAAATTATGTTGCTGAGCAAATAGTTTGTGTAAGATTCCTGGTTTGTCACTTTTGAGATATTTTCCTTTTAGGAGGTGTTTGGTGTTACTCAAGATTCCTAGGAATACCCTGTAAATTTATCATAGGTAAAAGTTTTTAGTATTTGGTGTTTTTTAGGTTCAAAGTTTACTGGTAAAGTTTGCTTCTTGGGAAAGAAGAATAAGGCCTTAATCTGGATTCTTTTTCTTGATGAAAACCATGTGAAGAAAACCTTCCCAGGTAAGTGGCATGATGAGAGGCAAATAATTGCCAAAATTGCACTCTAAATTCTGACATTTAGTGCAAGAAATGACATGAATATCTTTATAA